GGAAATCCTAAATCCTAAAAATCCTAAAAACTCAAGATTTTTTCTCCAACTTTTCAGATGTAGCAATTTTATTTTAAATGTTCTCCCCAGGAATTTTCGTCATGCATTACCTGTAATAAAGTTTTTTTTTTTTAATTTTCGAAATGAAGGAGTATCTACCAAAATACCAGCTTGAAGGAAATCAAGGCATTAATCAAAGTCTTGCCCTTTTAAAGGCAGCCAGCAGAGCTAAGCTAATTATAGGATGTTTCCTGCCACATTTCCCTGTGGATTAAAACAAGCACACAGCGACTACCACCTGAGCTGTCCTCTGAATGACAGAAATTCCCCAGAAGAGACAAGATAGCTAAAAACATCAAAACAGTCACAAAGGACAGAAGGCCACTCAGCCATCAAGCTCCTTTCCTTCTATTTTTCCATGAATTCCCCTTCGAAAACACCCACTCCAAACTGGGCATTTTAGAGTACCCAAACAAACTTAACTTGCATGTCTTTGCGGGTGAAAGGAAACTACAGTCCCTGGACTAATCCCACACACCCAAGGGAAAAACATGAAAGCACCACAAAGACTGGAAATGAACCCTTAACCTGGACCGTGGAGCTGTAAGGCAGCTGTACCAACCAGCATGCAACTGTGCCAGTGAAATATACTTGGCTGCTGTTTTTATCCAAAGCCACTAACATTTGATCATTATATAAAGCACAGTTTTCCAGTTACTAGTCCTCAGCTCCACTCTGCTGCCATCAGATGATTAACAATGTCCAAACTGTGGACTTACAATGTAACCCGGAAACAGTACTCACGACGGGTAATGAGCTCTCAAATTCAGAACAAAACAATGCAATTTTCTCGCCATACTGGATGAAATCTCAGGTTAACAAAATGTTTTGCTATCATTATGTCGAGTGACATCTTAACAAAACACTCAAGTGATTGTTCAGTTGCCAGAAGGTTATTTGCTGCTTTTGCAGGTGTCCCACAAGATCATCATTATTTTCTACCTGCAATAATTTGAGTAGGGATTTAGCTATTTCACACTGACAATCCCCATGTTGTTGTAAAAGAATACTGCTCTATGATCAAACTCACATTAGTGAAAGTGAGCCCTCACACTGATTAATTGGTGCCCTTATTAAGCAATATAATAAGTAATATAAATTTGCATTTAAAAATGACAGGTAACCAGAGGCACATGTTTTTAACATTTATGGAAGATAAACTAAATGACTTAAATACAATCAATTTTAATTTGAGCATTAACATGTTTCATTTCCAAATTCACCAATTACAACACTTTAGGTTCAGCTTTCAAGCGTATTTAATTTGAATGTGACTGCAGTAATACAGCCAGCACCACAAGTTATCTTAAAATGCTTTTTGACTCAAGTTTTCCTTAAACAACAGGATGTGAAGAAACATGAAATGATTAAGCCTAAGCCTATTTTAGTCAGTTCCAGTAGTTTGAAAAGTGCTCATAAATAAATCTAGTATTAATTTATCATTTGCTTGTAGATGCACATTCAAATAACTATATTAAGTATACATCCCCAAGAGACCATTTCGACGTCTTAAATAGATTCTCAACTTACGTTTCTCATCATCTGCGTGTACTAAAGACGCTGCTCTTGACAAAACATCCAAAGGAGTTTCCATTCTTGGCAAGATCCTACAAGTAAAATAAAATATTACAAAGTGTTGCCAACTGTGTTGTTGAGGGATTATGAAAGGAAGAGACTTTGGCTTCATTTTATCAAGAAATGTCAAGTATCCAAAACAAGGCAGAAACATAGTAACAGAACAACGATTCACGGTGACGCATCGTGCTGCCTTTCAAAGTCAAAATTTTTTTGTATAATGCATCTTTATAACTGCACTGTGCAAAAAAGAAATTTAACTGGAAAAAAACGTACTCGTAGTTTCAGTTACAGTTCATTGGCCCGAAGCTCCTTGTTTACGTCTACAATAACACATAATAAATGATGAATGAAAATGAAGCACCGTAGTTTAAACCTTAGGATAGAGAGCATTGCTACAGCGAAGTCTCATGTGTGCGTCCTACACTTCTACATTCCAAGGATACCACTTATCCTATACTTATTGAAAGAAAAACGACCATTAAAACAGTGGCAGTTAACCCAGCCCCTTTTTAAAATAAGCAACTATAAAATACAGACAATTCAGAGTATAAGGCATCTTTTAAATGATTCTTGAGAGGAAAGTGTATTCAATTAGCATTCCCAAGACGTTTTGTATACATCTCAAGAAATGATCGTCATTAGACAAATGTTAGCATATCTTCAGACGTAGTTCTATACGGCATTCAAGCATTTATTTTTAAAGGGACTTGAAATGATTCAGCCTTTTGTTATTTTCTCAAACATTTCTCCATAGAGGGAGTCAGAACTTTGAATCCATGAGCCGTATCAGCACGTCAAATTTTCTAAGAAAATGACACAGGATTGCAAAATTGTCGAATGGTTACAAAGAACGCATCTGCCGACTTGCACGCTGCGTTTCCCTCAACACTTCATGCTCTCGTTTTGTGAAACGTAAGAAATGCACCGCGCTCATAATGACGTTCGCATACCAAGAAACACGCTACGTTTTGAAGTTAATCGCATGTTTTATGCGTGCAGCGCTTTGACAAATACTGCACATACTGTAGCGTTCAGAGCTATACGTAAGTTTTCTGTGCATCCTCAACGGCTTCTTGAACGTAGCGCAAACACGTTACACGCTACACTTCACAACACAACTTGGACACACATTCATCAGCCACTTTTTAAGACCACTTCAGCGTGCGCGAAGCTTGCTCCGATCACTGAAGTAGTCTTCAATGTTTCCTCATCCCCTGTTGGCGATCAGCATTCCTACCACTGTTCTCCTCCATGTACATGCCTGTTGCCATCGTAATACATAGGTACATACCACCTTGTAGTGCCACTTTTGGAGTCCTGAGGGTTGAAATGCAGAGGGTTTTGCTGTTACTGGAACTCAACTCCAGATCCAGTCTCGGGTCACGGAGAATGCCTATGAAGATGAAGTATCCGAGAGCTGAAACAAAGGCAAAAGAGCTTGTTCTGATTTAGGACCTCGCAGGGAACTACACAAGAGGAAGAATGTGAGGAATGATGGAATTCTCTTCCTAGCAGGTGGTGAAAGTGAAGAATTCTTATTGGCTAAACTCTCCGAAGTGAGATCAGCATAAATTATTATAATCGCACGCGTTACATCACATCCTCGCCAGCAGCAGGTACAGGACAATAAGGAAGTTGCAGTCTCATATTCCAACAACAACAAGCGTGCTTCGGTGTTTGATGAGGTGCAGGATTCCTCTTGGTCCTAAACGCAACTGCTGTGTATCACTATGTGTGGACGAAAGCAACTCGTTGAAATTAAAACGCTTAGCTCTACGGCACCTTCTTTCACTCCGTTCTGCAGGATTGAATCTTTTTTTTTTAAAATAATTGCCTCCAGTTTTACTCCTGTAACCTGTTATGTGTGATGATACAAAGCAGAGAAAGTAAATCAATACAGAACAGAGCCAGAAAGCAACGCTTTGATGTCATCTGCATCGAGTAATCTACAAAAGTAGTATTTATGCAAGTAAACGATAGCTTCACAGTTCCGATCTGTAAAAAAAAAATCACTTTGTGTGCGTAATGCTATCAGAAATATTGGAACATTAATTAATTTCACTAAAACACGTAATGTGGTGTTGTGTATCAAAGTAATGAAATAACAACTGATAAACCCATTTATCCATTTATAGCCAAAGCAGTAGCACATACCATACTTGAAGCCATAAAACAACAGAAGCTAAGCAAATATACAGAATAAACAGTAGTTACTATACATTACTTTTAGCAAATGTCTTAAGATGTTTTCCGATGTTCTACTATTCACTCAGTGCTTTTCCTTCTTTATGTATGTACATGTACTGTATGTTGTTGTTGTTTAAAGATCATAGTTAATCGTGGCAATTCTGTATTTTAAAGTAGAAAGAGCAGCCTTTTCTATCCCTGGTGTCCTGGCCATAGTCCACTCAGGTCTTTTGCAATTTGGCCATCCTTAGATATTTCTAATTAGTTAACAATCAGTATAAACTAATGTAATTAAAAGGTTAGTTACTTGAAACACTAAGATTTAGCTCTTTGAATATTGGCAAAAAAAATCAATAGAGTGATATGTTATAACCTAAACTTTTAATATTGTTGAACCATCACAAATTAAGAGATTTTAAGATTGTAAAACACCTACCCAGTTTATACTGTTTTCAAAAATTTAGAAGAGCATTTTAGCCTCTCTTGTAATTCATACCAGCAAGGTAGGATTTTAGTTTGAGCTCATTCCAACTGCTCCTTAAACCTTCAGTTTGAGGCAACAGAGCTGTCTTAAATTCTCCAATCCAAATCTACATAATTTACTGCGCAGATTTAGGGAAACAATTGCCTTTGTTAGGTATAAGCACCTAGAGTATTAAAGATTACATAAGACAAGGCACATGCTTGCCATATTTTTTCAACATGTAACTGATTCGTTACACTTAGAATACTGAATGGTAGGAACTGCTGTCAAATCAACATCGTTGAAAGCTTAAATGCCAGATACATTTTAAATAATCTTACAACAAGCAGAGCCTGTAAAACTTTATTTTCACTTTGGAAGGCCTGATTTCACAGGAAGCATGGGGAACATTCCAAGCTGCCTTTCCTTGACCTGGATTTGTGCTTGCCAGCTGCCTACCTTTCCAATTCGTCCCCAAGTAGCTCCTTTCCCCGAACTTACCACCTGCTTTAACGATCTTGGCGTTTGCTTCTTTTCGGTGTTGAACAGCAATCCTAAACATCTTTTATTGAATTCATGTCGACTGATGTGACTTTGTAATATAGGACGTCTGAGCTATGGGACTAAAGTGAAATCATTTTAGAAACTTTTTAGCACATAAGGCTGCCCAAGAAAAGCCTATTCCTCTTAAAATATCAGGAGGAATGCCAAATAGTTTCACTTGTACATTTATTCGAAAACCAGCATAATGCAGTAGGTCATTCGTTGAACATATTCTGAAACACAATGGAAGCAAATATTGCCATGCTGGTGAAGCCACAATGATGCTATGTTGTCAGGAAAAAGACAGTAATGTTAAAACTGTAAGCTCCTCCATGGTTTGGCACAATCTGCATGTAATCATACTGGATAATGTTATGTGTTTGTCCTTTTTTTTAGTTTTAGCATGTTTTAGACATCCAGGTACTTTAGTATTGCTCTTGCCTATCTCATAAACAGACAAATTCCACATATGGTTAATTGTCCTAGCATACACAGATAGGTGATAAATGGTTTTAAATTGTTTTATTTATCATTAACAAGATAAGGAGACATTTTTCAGTGGAATTGATCATCACTAATTACGGGATTTCTAAACCACTTTAAGAATAGCAAATGAATGTGCTATGAATGACAGACAGATAGGTCTAAACAAAGCTATATTGCAAGACTCATTATATAAATGCTATAAAACTTAAGTAATGAGGCCAAATTAATATTTGACAAATAATGGGATACATCAGCACATATCCTTTAGTATAAATGCAAAATGTCTAGGTTGGCATGATAAAACAATTATCCAACACAACATCAGGAAAAACACACCAAAAAATTTAAAAAGTGTTCTAATAAACAAGGAGTTAAGCTGCATCGTTATGGTAGTTAACGGTTGTAGATCATTTCTAAAAGTGAGACCTCAAGCCATGTGAATAACTACAGGATAGCAAAGTCTCAAGAGAATTGTGCAAAAATAACGTCTTTCTGCTGCAACTTCCCATGGAAGTGAAGCTTGTAAATTATTTGCCAGTTTGCTTTAGTGAAAAGGATAAAATTGACTCAGCATACAGAGCTCTGGCCCAGGAGTAAAGCAAAAGGACACATTACCGTGGATGAAATGAGAAGACGCTGAATCTGTCTACAAGATCTGTCGTATGGTCACATCAGAAAACAGTTTCAAATTAAATGTGGTGGAATTTTTGAAAAATTCAGTAAAATAGTTTTGCTATTTTACACTTTGCATAAAAATTTGATTTAATATATTTGAGGCAAAATTTTGGGAAGAGAATTGAATTGTATATGTATAGGTAAATGCTCTGGCTGAATTTACAAATGTGGAGAGGAACTCTTAATTTACACCTTCTGTTTCTAAGTAAATGACAAGAACATGCAAACACTAAGGCTGGAATATACGATGAGAGGCTGTTGTTACCGAAAATAACCCGATTGTGAAACAGCAAGATTGATTTATTTGCCTAAACTATAACCTAAAACATCATATCATGAACCATCCAGAAAGGGAATATTGTGAGAATCCTCCTGAGTAACTGTAGATCAGATTCACTTGTTAAAATAATTGCTGTACATAATTTATAACCAACCTGAAGTCAGACATTTTAATACAGAGATGTGTCTGTAATAGGGCAGCAAGATCGTACAGTGGTTAGCGTTGCTGCCTAATAACACTGAGGCCCTGGGTTCAATTCTCTGGACCTGGGGTGCCTTCTTGTTTTTATATTCTTCCCATGTTCGCACGATTTTTCCCCTAGTCCTCCAGTTTCCTCCCACAATCCAAACACATGCTGGTATGTTAAGTGGCTTCTGGGAAAATTGGCCCTGGTGTGAGAGTGCCCAGGTCCTGTATGTGTTTGTGGCAGCAGTTCAAGCAGGTAGCTGCATCAGCATGCATAGGCTGCAAAGGAACAAGTAAAGGTTTATTCCACGCTGAAAAGAGAAGAAAAACACAACGTTTCAGCTGTGGAGCCTTCTTCGGGTGTTTGTCTGTGTCAGTCTGCCCTGCAACAAACCTTTGGCCCTCCAGCGGTATGACCCTGCTTTCTGCCCATTTCTTGCCAGGATAGGATCCAGCTCCCACACAATTTTTGTGCTAACATACCCCATATTTCATGAAACTCATATCTAGCTTTTTGAGGAGCACATTTTCCAGAATGTTTTCCCCTCCAGAACAAAGAAAGCTCTTTAAAAGCCAGCCGTAAAGGACCAAGAGGGAAATGCACTTCAAATTCAAGTGTTACCTTTGCAGAAGATTCATTGCGTTGATAAGTGAAGTTGTCAAATAAAAATAAACAAAGCAATGAAACTGGTGACTTTTATAGCAAATATATTCAACAGGTCCATAAAGTAGATGACTTCATTCAGTTGGACTTCCTTCTTGATCCCTTCCACATTTTCTGGAGCTTTTTCAGACTATATGATACAGTTTTTATCAAGCCTGAGGAAACAGAAGATGTTGAAGTAAAAAGCATCTTTCATCTTACACATTATGCACATTACTTACTTTTGAACCTACAGGGTTGACAGTCATACTTTAAAAAGAAAATTAAAATAGTCAAAATAAACCATTATAAGAGAGTATTTTTATTTCAAATTTAAATTTGCATCTATTTTTTAAATGTTACATTTTTACACAAAAGAGGTACCCAATATTTTTCCCTTATTGTCTCTTGCATTAATATAAAAAACAGTATTGTATTACTCTTATTTATATGTAAGATTTACAATTCCCTATTTAAAAGCTGTTTATCTTATAACTGAAGGCAACACACATCCATTCAGCGGCCCAGGCTGACTCTCTCTCTTACCAGCAGTTACAATGCCTTTGGCACTCTGTGTTAGGCTTGATGTCTTGACAATTGAAGATATTCCTGAAGAAGCAAAATTAAATAAAGTGAAGTGTCATTTTGTGACATGCTGAGAGAAAAAAGTACTGTGCGCATTTAAAGTTTAAAGAAAAGCCTAGAAAATGACTTATTTTAGTACTATGCAAGTAGAGGTCGGTGCACTAACTGGAAACTTGGATTTCATACGGAAAAGCACTATTAAGTCTTGATGAGAGGCTTTGTTTAAAACTTTTGAGGTGAAATTGTTTCACAGAACAATTACAGAGACAATATTTTGTGCCTTTTATAAAGACAGCACAGTAGTCAGCATTTCCTATGAATGTGCACCTAGCACTGAAAACTGTAAAAAAGCATAAACTCTTTTCAAATGCAGATTTGAAAAAAACAACTATTTATTTTACTGGAATACAGGTTCTGGAATACACATTCTGAGACAGAGACCCATCCTGCAAGTACAAGTGTGTCAAAGACAGAAGATAATTTGAAACAACAGTTTGAAACAAGCATTTTATTAACTCCTGTCTCCTGTATCATACATGCCAACTTTATATGACATATTTAAAGTAAGGAATCAGGTTATACAAGATTTTGATATTTTCAGGTTTGACAGGTTCTTCAAGTACAGGTTTTTAAATTGCTGTTGCTTAAAATACAGCAGCTAACTATTTTATGGTTATAATGATCAAAACACTTAAAGAAAATATATTCTCATTTATTATTATGCTCCCAATGACAGCCTAGGTTAAGTGAAATTCTAAAGTTTGACACCATGCATATTGGCAGAAACCCTGCAGTTATGATGAATGGCGTGAGATAGTCTGATCACTGCAGGAAATGTAATATTTACTTTTCCACTCCATTCAAAGGTACAATTGTCCAGGTAAGAAGAGGAAGTGAAACAGAAGATTCATTGAGAAGCATGTCACTTTGTGGATAGGTGCAGACATCCAGCAAGACAAAATGAGCAATGCTGAATTCAGGGAGAAGTCAAGAGTGCACAGATGAAGCTTACCTTGCTGCACCACTAATCCACAGTCTGGATCCTGAGCCACCTGCAGTAAGATTTCTTCTACATCCCTGTTCTTTCCAGGTGGATCTACAAGACTTGTAATCTCTTGCTGAAGAGTCCTGGGTAGCCCCATCAGCTGTGTGAACTGACCCTCTGGACTTTTATCAATCTTGAAAAAAAAGTATTTGAAACAATAGTAGTTTTTAAACACCCAATTACAGTCAGTCTGTTGGAGAAATCCTGCACATTTACTTTTATTCCAATACAGCACTCCCAGCATGAATGAATGAATGAAAATATCACGATAAATAATAAGCATTCTTATTAATTATTAAAAACACATTCTTTGTTCCATTTGCAGCATTGCATGTTCATTATACATAAGCATAACAATTTATAGCTTTGGATCTACTGCATCCTTCCTTCATAAACCTGGACAGATTCTCACAGATTTTTTTAATTTATTATTGTAGTTCTAACCCATTTTCTACCACTGAATTCAGATTTAGTGCTAGCTTTTTCTAATTGGGTTAAAACTTGATTTTTTTAGATATGTAATTATTATAACTGGATATCCGTAAAGGATGTCCAGTGTAGGTCGTTTGGGCAGTGGACAGCAACATTTGAAGTACAATAAAGGTGTTCTGGCATCGCTCAGTAATTTTAATGAGATTTCCTCCTCACTTAAGAAGAACTGTAAGAGCCATCACTTATGATGAGTATAGGCATACACTGCCTGGTTACCAAAAAGGATTGGTTACACCCATCTAGCAACAGGGGACAGCATAAGAGGGGTATGGATAGTAAAAATGATGGAAGAAAACAATGGCACAAAATCCTATTCTGCATTGTGAAGGGAGTGTCTGTACTCCAGCCCTACCTGGCAGTGTAAATGGACTTAGCAGGCTGATTATGCCTCTCAATCTAAATCATTAAAGTAAATCCAAACTGAGGTTTATGAGCCAGATGTACAGTATTAGTGGTTCCATCCTTGATACTCTCTGCTACCCCCACTGGTAGTACAGTGGATTTGTACATACTGCTCAAGGCAAAGGCACATCCAAGGAAAAATCTTTTCAATCTGTGTTTGTGTGGTAGTCTCCAAAATTGTGTTTTCAAATTTCCTGTGAAAACAACAAATTAATGCAACAAAGGAGATGTCTCACCTCTAATTTCCCCTGCAGTGGCTTGTAAACCACCTGTGAGCATTCATGAAGAATGTTGCCGTAGAGGTTCTGAAAGTGTGGCAGATTGCCCCTGACAATATTCAGAACCTTGGATCGGTCTTCTCCTATTACCATCCTAAAATCCCCTACGACAAAAACAAAGGGTATTGAACAGCCTGTACAGTAAACATACAGGACATATCTGTAAAACCATCCAGTAATCCTCAGCTATCGCCGATTAATGTTTAATATTAATTAATCTAAAACCTCATATGATGAAGCCCAGTTTTACTTATTACTAAAAGCTTTAAATCACCTCAGTGTCACTTGCACAGGTGTTAAGTGTTTATTGTCTTTAGTGTAGATGATCCAGTAGGTGGCACTTTTTCCAATGCAGCAGAATTTCCAAATCAATGTTAATCACCTAATATGGTGACAGGGGACGTTGCATCTTTAGATGAGATGTTAAGCCAAGGCTCTGACTGCCTGGGCCATTAAAGACCCAGGAGCACTGCTTAACAGAGTAGGAGTGTTAACCCACAGAACTATACATACTAATGGTACTCCTGTACCTATATATTTCCTTTTATAGATTTAACGAGAATCTCCCCCTAAAATATTGATAAAGCCCTATGGCACAGAACACGTGGTTTTAAGATAATCACCGGCATAGGAGAGTCCAGCAATTTGGACAAAGAGATCCTCCACTGAGAAGCTCTCAGGCAGCATGAGAAAGGCGGCCGTGACTGCACTCTTCAGGTTACTGACCAGAGCCGCCCGCAGCTTGCTGCTGTCATTCTGAACCAGGATTTTAACCTAGAAAACACCAGCTGTCATCCATTTTTACAGCTTTGTGGGCACTCAAGATACCAAACCAATAACAATACATATCAAAGCAAGGCTGTAAAAATAATGCAAGAATAAGAATTAAAGATAAGGATTATAAAAAAGGAAGATGTCAATTATCACAATTTGTACCACTTTATTCACCCACACAAGAGCGCTAATTACATGTCACTCCTTCATTGTTTTTTTTTTCTATTTCTTCATCTTATCAAATAAAAATTCCCTAGTAATTACGAGAAGCAGAAAAAAAAGTACTGTTTGAAGTACAAGGAATTAGAGATTTCTCATTCACTTAACCCTTGGGCCAACATTGATTTTTAATTCTAAATTATTTTTGGATGTGACATGAGGATTTGTTAGTGAATGAGATAAATCTCTATTAAAGATCACAACTTCAAACTGAAATTAAATTTCCCTTTGAACCGATGCAAAAGTCAAATGTATTCTGAATCAAGCCCTCACTCAGAAACATTTTTAAATAAATACTGCCACCACCTGGCCATTAAATATAATTGCACTCAGATTAAGTCATAAAACCTACATTTTCATTTATCCCCAAGGGCTCTTTCAACTAAAATGCTCTCATAAATACTGGAAATACACATCATTACAAATGGCAATTCACTGTATGCTTTTAAGTAACTATAGATAACGTCAACCCATTTCATAGGTAGGTAAATGTCTGTTTTATGTCCTTACTGGTTTATGGAGCCTCCCAGCAATATATAAGGTCTTCCAGTGAAACAAGTCCTCAATCAAAGCATCTGTGCTAATGACCCCATACTTGATCATCTGTAATATAAAAAATGGCTTTATCATTTTGCTTGTAAGATTAGAATATTAATTTTCACTATTTACAATTTTATATCAAAGCCTTATATGGTATAAAGAACCTGTAGAGCAGTTTTATGCAGCGGTTAACAAGAAAAGACTCACCCTGCCATCACATTGTACTAATGTGTTATAATAGACTCGAGCTCCATGTTGGCTCTGAACGTTGCTGACATGTCTGGGACCCAGGTACCTCAGGAAGGAATAATGCTTGTGGTTTTTCATCAGATTCATTGTGTGCCAAGAGACTGGATCATCCACAGCAAACACAAAATCAAGCATATTACTCTGGGGGAGATTTGATCAAATAAAAATAAAAAGGTTAGAATAGTACACAATAAAATCAAATACACATAGACAAATTGTATTTCCTAATTTATAGTATTGTAATTCTCAAAAGTAATTCTACATGTTTAACCGGGAATTTTCAATTAGCGATTGAATAAGAACTCAGAAAACAGGTAATTAGACGTTCTGTCTAAATTTTTCAAATTACCAAATTAAACTCAGGGGAGCTGCCTATCTCCTATTTAAATACTTCTATCCACTTTCTGTAAGCTGTCCTACCTGAAGTCAAGTAAGTTGTGAATTTTGCATTACTCCTTTTTCCATTTCTTAGCAAAGACAGCTGGTGCATGTAAATTACTGGGGGTGTCAAGCTCAGTTCCAGCAGAGCCTAGTGTGTCCTGGGTTTTGGTGCACCCTGAGCTCTCAGTGATATACTGTCACAGCCCAACTAGATTAGAGCATAATTGTAACCCTTCTAACCAAGGTGATTTACAGGAAACTGTACCTTTGAGGAATTGAATGTTTAGAGCAATCAATTACAACAGACTTTAAGCAAACCCTAGATAAGTCTAAGAAAACAACCAAAATATTTTCAAAGATTACTCAGTTGGGAACAAACCCCAGACAGAAGACACAGGTCACTCCCGGAATTGAGTCTAACACCTAAGACATGGTCGACGAGTCTATCTGCACACAGAATGAATATTCTGATGTAATTGGCTCTAATGGGTAAATGGTTTTTAAGTGTACTGAACATAAAAGTACAAAACGAAAGTGCGTTTGTATGTACTGTATATACTCTAACTGCAAATAAACCTTTTCTTAGCAACGTTCACGTTCGATTTAACAGATGACGGGAAAATAAGAAAATGTGACTTTGCTGAAAGATGCTTGATGCTATCCCGCCCATTTAAAGTACAAAACATCTAAACCTTTTAATTTTAGTCATTTCTCCTTAAGTTTCCTCTGTGCTTACCCCCATCTGCCCATGGGTTGTCCCAGATTGTCTAAACACGCCCGATCCGTAGGCAAAAGCCAGGCTCATGTCCTGGGGAAACCGAGACAAAATCTTGCGGTAGATGACACTTGTGGTCTGTACTGCTGGTAAAGACATGGTAGTAAGTTGTAAAAAAGAAAATGCATAAATAACACATTCAAATGAAGGCAATATTCTTAGAAAAATGAACGTTAAAACTGAATTCTACCGATACAACATAGTGCCTTGCTTTCTCATGAATACCTAGCAATCACTGCCCACATAAAACTTAATATCTACGGACATCAATAGTCCTACAATATAACGCTTCCACATGTTGTAACTGTAAAGGTTACTGCAAAATTCACATGATAAATGTTACAAAAACCATAGAACGGGAAACAAATCAGATTAAGAGAATTTAAACAACTCCCTCTAGTGGTGTGGAGGTTTTTACTGTCACTGTAGGGAATAATATTCCCCAAATTCACATTTGCAACTATTTGGTGTGTTTTATTAATGTAATATTTGATCAAATTGACGGTGTCAACTAATTTTATTATCCCGTAAATAGAGTATCGGTTCACAACAATTAATATTATAAAAATAGGTACGGGCAAGTATACATTCAATACATAACAGCACCATTATGTAATTCTTTTAGTAAAAATGGCCATTTTAATAAAATCTATAATTATTATTAACACTTTTACTGCTACAAAAAGATGATTTGATACTTTCGTGTAAAGAGATTAATCATATGCTATATGTCTGGAAGAATAAACCCGAGCTTGATATATGCCTTTTTACGTTTTTCACATGTGCCATAAAGAAAAGTATTTTTTCATGCTTAATGAAATAAAGTGAGGTGAATGCATTAGACGTGTAAGGAATAATTTTAAGGTTGAAAAACGACAAATTGCTGAGGAATGGATGTCAAAAAAAGGTTATTAACAGGTTATGGCTGGTGACATTTAGTTTAATAGGGAAATGCTCTTATATGTGAGGTTGTTTTTTCATTGCATGCTGATTCTGTTGCTGGATGTTTTCCAAATTTCTAGTACAAGGACATTAGAGCACCCTACAACAAAAGTAGTTTGGGTACAATACAAGTAATTTTAATACAGCATCGAATTTATTTTAATGTCATGCTGTGAAATCTGAAACAAGTATATCTGAATATGTATTTGATTTGAAAACATTTAAGTCGAGATCGAAGATTTTTTCGCGCACATCAAGTTACATACAGCCTTCCTTTTCTGACCCAGTTATTCTCAATAGGATTATGTGTCTTTCATCTTCTGTGGTGCCTTTCTTGCAGTTCAGATGATGCCTCCGGAGATTAATTTTACTGTCAGAACATCTAAATATAAACCTCTTTTCATGCTGCAGTTTTAATTGGCCCTTTCCAAACAAAAGTTTCTCTACTGTAGCTCAAGCTGTCTGAAATTTACCAACATACTTAAAAAAGGGATAAAGGTCTCTCTTTGTCTCAGATTTGTGTAGTAGGGTACAAGACAGATTTACAGGGTATCATTAAATTCAGATATTAAGCATTTGTATTTTATTTAGTTTCTAGAAAGAAAAATGTCAACATTCGTATCTATCACAAAAGCTGTCATATCCATGATTTACACTTTGTTTACATTTGACTAAGCAAATCATTTCATTCAGTTCTGCTTAATATGGAGATAATCGAGAAACCAGATGCCTTTTGCATAAAGACATGCATCACTGTCAGGCAGAAATTTTGAACCTGAGACAATTTTCATTCTTTAAACTGACTTATATTGGATTTATATTTTTTCAAAAAAATATTGCAGGCTTTATTATCCTTTTAATAAACCTAAATTATATTTTAATTGTCTTCTTCCAGCATTATTACAACGTTTATTTCTCAGCTGCATGAAATCAACATTATACACAGGGTGTTTTTATTTGCTTTGGCAGTAACTGTTGGGCAATATACACTATTTTGGGTGCTTATTACTAGAAAAGCTGGCCCTCGAGCATTTCCTTTAAAAACTTTACTCTTTTGTGCATCTGACATCTGTGCCCTTGCACTGTAGGTAATCCAGTTTGCAATCTCTTGAGCTATTTATGCATACAAGTCTCCAAGGAGCAGGAAACAGTTTTTTGAATCACACTGTTGTCTCCTACAAAATGTGAAAGACTCCAACAGCATCAGTTCCATATCTTGCTGCTCCCTCTTGGGAACATCAAATGAGTTGAAGTTTTTCCTCTTGCAATATTAATGTCCCTTTAATCTAATTACGCAACACATAATTAAAGCATGACAGCTTGGTAGCTTATGCATCATAGTTGTTATATAATTATTTTCAGGTCTTTAATAAACTTGTTAAATTATATGTACAGTATTAGAGCACAAGATTTGTGTTTGCTTGTTTTACTGTCCCAATCCCACAATCTAACAAGACATGGCTGGACTGTGATACTCAAGCACAACTGGATCCACTCTGTGTTTGTACAGAGGCTGTAAGCTATCTCTATCAACACAAGGTGCTTCTAATTACTTGAAATGTTGGGAATGGCTGTTGAAATCATAATGGCAAATGGTGATAATCAGGAAAGTTACACAATGGTACATGTTAATGCTACTGTATGTGTCTGCTATATAAGATGCTTTAAAAATGTACATTATTCAGTACAAAACAATGGAAGCCAAAATAAAGACGTGCGTTTGTGTAAAAAGAATTACCTATTGTTTGCAGAAATAAATAGAACAATCTGGGGCAAAGGCCCACTCAGCAGACGAAATGATAATAGGCTGGAGATATTTCTTTCACCCAATATCACGGTGAACATGCTAGTGAAGAAAGCACATCGAAAGCAATGGGACTGCACAAACAAGGTTTACACTGAGCTAGAATAGGTTCAGTGGGCTGCTGTTAATTGAGAAATGATCCAGCATCCAATGGTCACCCCAGGCTTATTGTAGATATCTGAAAATGAGGTCTTCTTTTGTGATAATCTATCTCATGAATATTAAAGTGTCTGTGCCACATGAGTGTAAAAATACACTGCAAATCGGAAAACAATGATGAGCACTTCAGCTTTCTATTAAGAGATTTTAATTATCCTGTCATCAACATAACAATATTTAGGACACACTCTTGTAGGTACTGTAAGTAGTTTCTATATTCAAGCCAGGCTCATTCTGGTTTCTGTGATGTTAAGTAGATAAGAGAGGATGTGACTCCCACCTCACCTGATGTTGCATGAGGTTCTAGCTCAGAGATTACTCCCAAGAACGCTAATTTCATTCATACAGCTGGGTGGGCTGCAGAAAATCGAATAGAGTACCATGAACCAGGTACTGTATAACAGCAGGGGCTGCAACTGGGGCTTGAAGCCACAGCCCACCAGTTATTAGACCACAGATTTAATCACTAAACTACCCCAAGAACTTTCTTGACGCACTTAAATTTCCTTTTTCCTATCGAATGCAAATTTGTCTAGATAGATAATGGCAGAATGGACCTGGCATTATGAAATGTTGTGGCATCCTGTTAAATATGCTGAATGGTATTTTCATCTCAAAGAGATTCCATTTCCTAAATTCCATTTCCATATGGAAATATTTTAATTTTTCTGCTATGCTATAAAGAACAAGGTCTCACTTAGTTAAGAAGCAATGAAAATGCTGAATGTATATTTAACTTCACCAACCTACCAGGCTGTGGTTATTGGTTGCACATGCTGTATTTTCTCCGTTTGTAATCTTAGAATTTCTGTATAACAAAATGTTGTTGGTCTAATCTATGGCTAAAAAAAGATGTCTTGATTGCTAAAGATTTTAACTATTACTGCTTTAAAACGTAAAACGTTTCGACATAAAATATCAGATCGATAGTAAATTTGTCAGTACTTGGTATTTGGATTGTCTTGTTTTAAAGTTAGTTATTTTTCAATAATAAATCAAAAAGGAGAAAAAAATCCTCAGAATTAAGTAATCTACAGAGGGGTCAAAATTTATAGGTAATAGGTGATCATACAGATGATCTAAGCATTTTAAATTAATTGTTCAGATAGGTAATCTTAGGTAATATAAATATGGGACATTTATTTAAGAATTTCAAGATGGACTGAGTGTCGATGATGTTGGTTTGATGTAATCTCACAACATGGAAAAACAGGTTCTTTAATATAACTTTCTTGCATCATTACCCATAATTTTTATTACAAAAAATAAAAATGTAGGCACATAAGAACCATCAAGAACTTAAAATATGATGAAATACATTGATATTTTCATATTTTTTGCAGTATGAATTAAGTATAGAAAATATATTAGATGATATCCATCATTTTCTTTAGAATTGTCATGTGGCATAATTTCAAATACACAACTGCTGATTACAAAACAACACACTGGAGATTTGGCAAGTTTGAATTCTGTATTTTTTAAAAAGCCATTCAAAGTAGAAATGTTTATAATTATGTATGTTATCTGTATCCCTGATTGTGGCAAAAGATACAAAATTATCATAGTAATGAAGTATAATTGCAGCCAATTAAGTTTGAAGGCAGAGGGGTAACATCCATTATGTGAGCAACCTGCAATCAAAATCTTATATTTGAATACTGTATGCAATTTCAAAAACAAAAGAAGAAAACATACAGTACTTCTTCTATCATGTTGGAAACCAAATCTGTTCAAATTTTTTCTTATAATAAATTGATATTACTACAAAAATGATTACTCAATGCCATATTTAATATACTTTTTAAAAAATATATGTGTGCAATAAATAAAATAAAAAAAATCAGTAACAGAGCCACACCGGTATTATATGGGTATAGAACTGTTTAGTTCACAAAAAAAGAGAAAAATGTCATGTTGTGGAAGTTTGTGTGTTTTCTTTTATTTGTATGAGAGAGACGTTAAAGAGAAAAAAGTTTTGGTTTACCAATAAATACGGACATGTCTTGACTATTAACACGGACGTGGAAGAAGCAGAGAGCTAAACTGTTCAATGACATATGCATTAGGTTAACACAATGCATGTCAGTGATGGTTGACTTGGTATAGTTGTTAGTTCTGCTGCCTCACAGGGTCCTGGGTCAGTTTCCACATTGGGAGCCTTCTGAGTGGAGTCTGAATGCTCCCTGTGTTTCAATGTGTTTGGTTTGCCCTGTGCCTGACAGGTGTCCGATCCAGTCTGTAGCATGGCCTTGCACTCTATGCATCTACACCTACTGTACCATCAATAAGCAGCTTCCTTATAACTGATTTATAAATCATATTCACAGTAATATTTAATGATTTTTACACTTCTGTGGAAATGTAATATTTGGCAGCAGTTAAAAAACTGATTTGTATCAATGCATACAATTTAGTCACAACAGCTATATCTACATT